TCATAGGGGACATAGATGTTGTAAATGTTGAGTAAAACTGTCGTTGTAATTCAGTTTCTGTGCTAGAAGTATCTGTAGGGTTTGTGTCTGCTGGCTTGTTGATGTCCTACACTAGCTGAAGATATTTCTGTGAAGATGAAGTCAATTTCTGATGTACTTTCTGTGTAGAAGATGGTGAAGATGGAGAGGTACCTGTTGTGGATATTGTAGTTTCCAGTGTTGAACCACTTTCACCTGTAGATGATTCTAAAGTGGTTGTGCTCATAGGGGACATTGCTGTTGTAAATGTTGAGTAAACTGTCGTTGTGGATTCAGTGTCTGTGCTAGAAGTGTCTGTAGAGGTTTGTGTCAGCTGGCTTGTTGTTTGTTCTACTGTAGCTGAAGATATTTCTGTTGTAGATGAAGTCAGTTCTGATGTACTTTCTGTTGTAGAAGATGGAGAGGTACCTGTTGTGGATATTGTAGTTTCCAGTGTTGAACCACTTTCACCTGTAGATGATTCTAAAGTGGTTGTGCTCATAGGGGACATTGCTGTTGTAAATGTCGAGTAAACTGTCGTTGTAGGTTCAGTTTCTGTGCTAGAAGTATCTGGAGAGGTTTGTGTCTGCTGGCTTGTTGTTTGTTCTACTGTAGCTGAAGATATTTCTGTTGAAGATGAAGTAAATTCTGATGTACTTTCTGTTGTAGAAGACGGTGAAGATGGAGAGGTACCTGTTGTGGATATTGTAGTTTCCAGTGTTGAACCACTTTCACCTGTAGATGATTCTATTGGTGGTGTGCTCATAGGGACATAGATGTTGTAAAATGTTGAGTAAAACTGTCGTTGTTATTCAGTTTCTCTGCTAGAAGTATCTGGAGAGGTTTGTGTCTGCTGGCTTGTTGTTTGTTCTACTGTAGCTGAAGATATTTCTGTTGAAGATGAAGTCAATTCTGATGTACTTTCTGTTGTAGAAGATGGAGAGGTACCTGTTGTGGATATTGTAGTTTCCAGTGTTGAACCACTTTCACCTGTAGATGATTCTATTGTGGTTGTGCTCATAGGGGACATAGATGTTGTAAATGTTGAGTAAACTGTCGTTGTAAATTCAGTTTCTCTGCTAGAAGTATCTGGAGAGGTTTGTGTCTGCTGGCTTGTTGTTTGTTCTACTGTAGCTGAAGATATTTCTGTTGTAGACGAAGTCAGTTCTGATGTACTTTCTGTTGTAGAAGATGGTGAAGATGGAGAGGTACCTGTTGTGGATATTGTAGTTTCCAGTGTTGAACCACTTTCACCTGTAGATGATTCTAAAGAGGTTGTGCTCATAGGGGACATAGATGTTGTAAATGTTGAGTAAACTGTTGTTGTGGATTCAGTTTCTGTGCTAGAAGTATCTGTAGAGGTTTGTGTCAGCTGGCTTGTTGTTTGTTCTACTGTAGCTGAAGATATTTCTGTTGAAGATGAAGTCAATTCTGATGTACTTTCTGTTGTAGAAGACAGTGAAGATGGAGAGGTACCTGTTGGGATATTGTAGTTTCCAGTGTTGAACCACTTTCACCTGTAGATGATTCTAAAGTGGTTGTGCTCATAGGGGACATTGCTGTTGTAAATGTTGAGTAAACTGTCGTTGTGGGTTCAGTTTCTGTGCTAGAAGTATCTGTAGAGGTTTGTGTCTGCTGGCTTGTTGATTGTCCTACACTAGCTGAAGATATTTCTGTTGTAGATGAAGTCAATTCTGATGTACTTTCTGTTGTAGAAGACAGTGAAGATGAGAGGTACCTGTTGTGGATATTGTAGTTTCCAGTGTTGAACCACTTTCACCTGTAGATGATTCTAAAGTGGTTGTGCTCATAGGGGACATTGCTGTTGTAAATGTTGAGTAAACTGTCGTTGTAGGTTCAGTTTCTGTGCTAGAAGTATCTGGAGAGGTTTGTGTCTGCTGGCTTGTTGTTTGTTCTACTGTAGCTGAAGATATTTCGGTTGAAGATGAAGTCAATTCTGATGTACTTTCTGTTGTAGAAGATGGTGAAGATGGAGAGGTACCTGTTGTGGATATTGTAGTTTCCAGTGTTGAACCACTTTCACCTGTAGATGATTCTATTGTGGTTGTGCTCATAGGGGACATAGATGTTGTAAATGTTGAGTAAACTGTCGTTGTTGATTCAGTTTCTCTGCTAGAAGTATCTGGAGAGGTTTGTGTCAGCTGGCTTGTTGATTGTCCTAAACTAGCTGAAGATATTTCTGTTGAAGATGAAGTCAATTCTGATGTACTTTCTGTTGTAGAAGATGGTGAAGATGGAGAGGTACCTGTTGTGGATATTGTAGTTTCCAGTGTTGAACCACTTTCACCTGTAGATGATTCTAAAGTGGTTGTGCTCATAGGGGACATTGCTGTTGTAAATGTCGAGTAAACTGTCGTTGTAGGTTCAGTTTCTGTGCTAGAAGTATCTGGAGAGGTTTGTGTCTGCTGGCTTGTTGTTTGTTCTACTGTAGCTGAAGATATTTCGGTTGAAGATGAAGTCAATTCTGATGTACTTTCTGTTGTAGAAGATGGAGAGGTACCTGTTGTGGATATTGTAGTTTCCAGTGTTGAACCACTTTCACCTGTAGATGATTCTATAGTGGTTGTGCTCATAGGGGACATAGATGTTGTAAATGTTGAGTAAACTGTCGTTGTAAATTCAGTTTCTGTGCTGGAAGTATCTGTAGAGGTTTGTGTCTGCTGGCTTGTTGATTGTCCTACACTAGCTGAAGATATTTCTGTTGTAGACGAAGTCAGTTCTGATGTACTTTCTGTTGTAGAAGATGGTGAAGATGGAGAGGTACCTGTTGTGGATATTGTAGTTTCCAGTGTTGAACCACTTTCACCTGTAGATGATTCTAAAGTGGTTGTGCTCATAGGGGACATAGATGTTGTAAATGTTGAGTAAACTGTCGTTGTAAGTTCAGTTTCTGTGCTAGAAGTATCTGGAGAGGTTTGTGTCAGCTGGCTTGTTGTTTGTTCTACTGTAGCTGAAGATATTTCTGTTGAAGATGAAGTCAATTCTGATGTACTTTCTGTTGTAGAAGATGGAGAGGTACCTGTTGTGGATATTGTAGTTTCCAGTGTTGAACCACTTTCACCTGTAGATGATTCTAAAGTGGTTGTGCTCATAGGGGACATTGCTGTTGTAAATGTTGAGTAAACTGTCGTTGTGGATTCAGTGTCTGTGCTAGAAGTGTCTGTAGAGGTTTGTGTCAGCTGGCTTGTTGATTGTCCTACACTAGCTGAAGATATTTCTGTTGTAGATGAAGTCAGTTCTGATGTACTTTCTGTTGTAGAAGATGGAGAGGTACCTGTTGTGGATATTGTAGTTTCCAGTGTTGAACCACTTTCACCTGTAGATGATTCTAAAGTGGTTGTGCTCATAGGGGACATTGCTGTTGTAAATGTCGAGTAAACTGTCGTTGTAGGTTCAGTTTCTGTGCTAGAAGTATCTGGAGAGGTTTGTGTCTGCTGGCTTGTTGTTTGTTCTACTGTAGCTGAAGATATTTCTGTTGAAGATGAAGTCAATTCTGATGTACTTTCTGTTGTAGAAGATGGTGAAGATGGAGAGGTACCTGTTGTGGATATTGTAGTTTCCAGTGTTGAACCACTTTCACCTGTAGATGATTCTAAAGTGGTTGTGCTCATAGGGGACATAGATGTTGTAAATGTTGAGTAAACTGTCGTTGTGGATTCAGTTTCTGTGCTAGAAGTATCTGTAGAGGTTTGTGTCAGCTGGCTTGTTGTTTGTTCTACTGTAGCTGAAGATATTTCTGTTGAAGATGAAGTCAATTCTGATGTACTTTCTGTTGTAGAAGACGGTGAAGATGGAGAGGTACCTGTTGTGGATATTGTAATTTCCAGTGTTGAACCACTTTCACCTGTAGATGATTCTAAAGTGGTTGTGCTCATAGGGGACATAGATGTTGTAAATGTTGAGTAAACTGTTGTTGTGGATTCAGTTTCTGTGCTAGAAGTATCTGTAGAGGTTTGTGTCTGCTGGCTTGTTGATTGTCCTACACTAGCTGAAGATATTTCTGTTGTAGAAGACGTCAGTTCTGATGTACTTTCTGTTGTAGAAGATGGTGAAGATGGAGAGGTACCTGTTGTGGATATTGTAGTTTCCAGTGTTGAACCACTTTCACCTGTAGATGATTCTATTGTGGTTGTGCTCATAGGGGACATAGATGTTGTAAATGTTGAGTAAACTGTTGTTGTGGATTCAGTTTCTGTGCTAGAAGTATCTGTAGAGGTTTGTGTCTGCTGGCTTGTTGATTGTCCTACACTAGCTGAAGATATTTCTGTTGTAGACGAAGTCAGTTCTGATGTACTTTCTGTTGTAGAAGATGGTGAAGATGGAGAGGTACCTGTTGTGGATATTGTAGTTTCCAGTGTTGAACCACTTTCACCTGTAGATGATTCTAAAGTGGTTGTGCTCATAGGGGACATTGCTGTTGTAAATGTCGAGTAAACTGTCGTTGTAGGTTCAGTTTCTGTGCTAGAAGTATCTGGAGAGGTTTGTGTCTGCTGGCTTGTTGTTTGTTCTACTGTAGCTGAAGATATTTCTGTTGAAGATGAAGTCAATTCTGATGTACTTTCTGTTGTAGAAGACGGTGAAGATGGAGAGGTACCTGTTGTGGATATTGTAGTTTCCAGTGTTGAACCACTTTCACCTGTAGATGATTCTATTGTGGTTGTGCTCATAGGGGACATAGATGTTGTAAATGTTGAGTAAACTGTCGTTGTTGATTCAGTTTCTCTGCTAGAAGTATCTGGAGAGGTTTGTGTCTGCTGGCTTGTTGTTTGTTCTACTGTAGCTGAAGATATTTCTGTTGAAGATGAAGTCAATTCTGATGTACTTTCTGTTGTAGAAGATGGAGAGGTACCTGTTGTGGATATTGTAGTTTCCAGTGTTGAACCACTTTCACCTGTAGATGATTCTAAAGTGGTTGTGCTCATAGGGGACATTGCTGTTGTAAATGTTGAGTAAACTGTCGTTGTAGGTTCAGTTTCTGTGCTAGAAGTATCTGGAGAGGTTTGTGTCTGCTGGCTTGTTGTTTGTTCTACTGTAGCTGAAGATATTTCTGTTGAAGATGAAGTCAATTCTGATGTACTTTCTGTTGTAGAAGACGGTGAAGATGGAGAGGTACCTGTTGTGGATATTGTAGTTTCCAGTGTTGAACCACTTTCACCTGTAGATGATTCTATTGTGGTTGTGCTCATAGGGGACATAGATGTTGTAAATGTTGAGTAAACTGTCGTTGTAGGTTCAGTTTCTCTGCTAGAAGTATCTGGAGAGGTTTGTGTCAGCTGGCTTGTTGTTTGTTCTACTGTAGCTGAAGATATTTCTGTTGAAGATGAAGTCAATTCTGATGTACTTTCTGTTGTAGAAGATGGAGAGGTACCTGTTGTGGATATTGTAGTTTCCAGTGTTGAACCACTTTCACCTGTAGATGATTCTATTGTGGTTGTGCTCATAGGGGACATAGATGTTGTAAATGTTGAGTAAACTGTTGTTGTTTCAGATTCTCTGCTAGAAGTATCTGGAGAGGTTTGTGTCAGCTGGCTTGTTGATTGTCCTACACTAGCTGAAGATATTTCTGTTGTAGATGAAGTCAATTCTGATGTACTTTCTGTTGTAGAAGATGGTGAAGATGGAGAGGTACCTGTTGTGGATATTGTAGTTTCCAGTGTTGAACCACTTTCACCTGTAGATGATTCTATTGTGGTTGTGCTCATAGGGGACATAGATGTTGTAAATGTTGAGTAAACTGTTGTTGTTGATTCAGTTTCTGTGCTGGAAGTATCTGTAGAGGTTTGTGTCAGCTGGCTTGTTGATTGTCCTACACTAGCTGAAGATATTTCTGTTGTAGATGAAGTCAGTTCTGATGTACTTTCTGTTGTAGAAGATGGAGAGGTACCTGTTGTGGATATTGTAGTTTCCAGTGTTGAACCACTTTCACCTGTAGATGATTCTAAAGTGGTTGTGCTCATAGGGGACATAGATGTTGTAAATGTTGAGTAAACTGTTGTTGTGGATTCAGTTTCTGTGCTAGAAGTATCTGGAGAGGTTTGTGTCTGCTGGCTTGTTGTTTGTTCTACTGTAGCTGAAGATATTTCTGTTGAAGATGAAGTCAATTCTGATGTACTTTCTGTTGTAGAAGATGGAGAGGTACCTGTTGTGGATATTGTAGTTTCCAGTGTTGAACCACTTTCGCCTGTAGATGATTCTAAAGTGGTTGTGCTCATAGGGGACATTGCTGTTGTAAATGTTGAGTAAACTGTCGTTGTAAATTCAGTTTCTGTGCTGGAAGTATCTGTAGAGGTTTGTGTCTGCTGGCTTGTTGATTGTCCTACACTAGCTGAAGATATTTCTGTTGTAGATGAAGTCAGTTCTGATGTACTTTCTGTTGTAGAAGACGGTGAAGATGGAGAGGTACCTGTTGTGGATATTGTAGTTTCCAGTGTTGAACCACTTTCACCTGTAGATGATTCTATTGTGGTTGTGCTCTTAGGGGACATAGATGTTGTAAATGTTGAGTAAACTGTCGTTGTTGATTCAGTTTCTCTGCTAGAAGTATCTGGAGAGGTTTGTGTCAGCTGGCTTGTTGTTTGTTCTACTGTAGCTGAAGATATTTCTGTTGAAGATGAAGTCAATTCTGATGTACTTTCTGTTGTAGAAGATGGAGAGGTACCTGTTGTGGATATTGTAGTTCCCAGTGTTGAACCACTTTCACCTGTAGATGATTCTATTGTGGTTGTGCTTATAGGGGACATAGATGTTGTAAATGTTGAGTAAACTGTCGTTGTGGATTCAGTGTCTGTGCTAGAAGTGTCTGTAGAGGTTTGTGTCAGCTGGCTTGTTGATTGTCCTACACTAGCTGAAGATATTTCTGTTGTAGATGAAGTCAGTTCTGATGTACTTTCTGTTGTAGAAGATGGTGAAGATGGAGAGGTACCTGTTGTGGATATTGTAGTTTCCAGTGTTGAACCACTTTCACCTGTAGATGATTCTATTGTGGTTGTGCTTATAGGGGACATAGATGTTGTAAATGTTGAGTAAACTGTCGTTGTAAATTCAGTTTCTGTGCTAGAAGTATCTGTAGAGGTTTGTGTCGGCTGGCTTGTTGTTTGTTCTACTGTAGCTGAAGATATTTCTGTTGAAGATGAAGTCAATTCTGATGTACTTTCTGTTGTAGAAGACGGTGAAGATGGAGAGGTACCTGTTGTGGATATTGTAGTTTCTAGTGTTGAACCACTTTCACCTGTAGATGATTCTATTGTGGTTGTGCTTATAGGGGACATAGATGTTGTAAATGTTGAGTAAACTGTCGTTGTAAATTCAGTTTCTGTGCTGGAAGTATCTGTAGAGGTTTGTGTCAGCTGGCTTGTTGTTTGTTCTACTGTAGCTGAAGATATTTCTGTTGTAGATGAAGTCAATTCTGATGTACTCTCTGTTGCAGAAGATGGTGAAGATGGAGAGGTACCTGTTGTGGATATTGTAGTTTCCAGTGTTGAACCACTTTCACCTGTAGATGATTCTAAAGTGGTTGTGCTCATAGGGGACATTGCTGTTGTAAATGTTGAGTAAACTGTCGTTGTAGATTCAGTTTCTGTGCTAGAAGCATCTGTAGAGGTTTGTGTCTGCTGGCTTGTTGATTGTCCTACACTAGCTGAAGATATTTCTGTTGTAGATGAAGTCAGTTCTGATGTACTTTCTGTTGTAGAAGATGGTGAAGATGGAGAGGTACCTGTTGTGGATATTGTAGTTTCCAGTGTTGAACCACTTTCACCTGTAGATGATTCTATTGTGGTTGTGCTCATAGGGGACATAGATGTTGTAAATGTTGAGTAAACTGTCGTTGTTGATTCAGTTTCTCTGCTAGAAGTATCTGGAGAGGTTTGTGTCAGCTGGCTTGTTGTTTGTTCTACTGTAGCTGAAGATATTTCTGTTGAAGATGAAGTCAGTTCTGATGTACTTTCTGTTGTAGAAGATGGTGAAGATGGAGAGGTACCTGTTGTGGATATTGTAGTTTCCAGTGTTGAACCACTTTCACCTGTAGATGATTCTAAAGTGGTTGTGCTCATAGGGGACATTGCTGTTGTAAATGTTGAGTAAACTGTCGTTGTGGATTCAGTTTCTGTGCTAGAAGTATCTGTAGAGGTTTGTGTCAGCTGGCTTGTTGTTTGTTCTACTGTAGCTGAAGATATTTCTGTTGAAGATGAAGTCAATTCTGATGTACTTTCTGTTGTAGAAGACAGTGAAGATGGAGAGGTACCTGTTGTGGATATTGTAGTTTCCAGTGTTGAACCACTTTCACCTGTAGATGATTCTAAAGTGGTTGTGCTCATAGGGGACATTGCTGTTGTAAATGTTGAGTAAACTGTCGTTGTGGGTTCAGTTTCTGTGCTAGAAGCATCTGTAGAGGTTTGTGTCTGCTGGCTTGTTGATTGTCCTACACTAGCTGAAGATATTTCTGTTGTAGATGAAGTCAGTTCTGATGTACTTTCTGTTGTAGAAGACAGTGAAGATGGAGAGGTACCTGTTGTGGATATTGTAGTTTCCAGTGTTGAACCACTTTCACCTGTAGATGATTCTAAAGTGGTTGTGCTCATAGGGGACATTGCTGTTGTAAATGTCGAGTAAACTGTCGTTGTAGGTTCAGTTTCTGTGCTAGAAGTATCTGGAGAGGTTTGTGTCTGCTGGCTTGTTGTTTGTTCTACTGTAGCTGAAGATATTTCGGTTGAAGATGAAGTCAATTCTGATGTACTTTCTGTTGTAGAAGATGGTGAAGATGGAGAGGTACCTGTTGTGGATATTGTAGTTCCCAGTGTTGAACCACTTTCACCTGTAGATGATTCTAAAGTGGTTGTGCTCATAGGGGACATAGATGTTGTAAATGTTGAGTAAGCTGTCGTTGTAAATTCAGTTTCTGTGCTGGAAGTATCTGTAGAGGTTTGTGTCTGCTGGCTTGTTGATTGTCCTACACTAGCTGAAGATATTTCTGTTGTAGACGAAGTCAGTTCTGATGTACTTTCTGTTGTAGAAGATGGTGAAGATGGAGAGGTACCTGTTGTGGATATTGTAGTTTCCAGTGTTGAACCACTTTCACCTGTAGATGATTCTAAAGTGGTTGTGCTCATAGGGGACATAGATGTTGTAAATGTTGAGTAAGCTGTCGTTGTAAGTTCAGTTTCTGTGCTAGAAGTATCTGGAGAGGTTTGTGTCAGCTGGCTTGTTGTTTGTTCTACTGTAGCTGAAGTTATTTCTGTTGAAGATGAAGTCAATTCTGATGTACTTTCTGTTGTAGAAGATGGAGAGGTACCTGTTGTGGATATTGTAGTTTCCAGTGTTGAACCACTTTCACCTGTAGATGATTCTAAAGTGGTTGTGCTCATAGGGGACATTGCTGTTGTAAATGTTGAGTAAACTGTCGTTGTGGATTCAGTTTCTGTGCTAGAAGTATCTGTAGAGGTTTGTGTCAGCTGGCTTGTTGTTTGTTCTACTGTAGCTGAAGATATTTCTGTTGAAGATGAAGTCAATTCTGATGTACTTTCTGTTGTAGAAGACGGTGAAGATGGAGAGGTACCTGTTGTGGATATTGTAGTTTCCAGTGTTGAACCACTTTCAACTGTAGATGATTCTAAAGTGGTTGTGCTCATAGGGGACATTGCTGTTGTAAATGTTGAGTAAACTGTCGTTGTGGATTCAGTTTCTGTGCTAGAAGTATCTGTAGAGGTTTGTGTCAGCTGGCTTGTTGTTTGTTCTACTGTAGCTGAAGATATTTCTGTTGAAGATGAAGTCAATTCTGATGTACTTTCTGTTGTAGAAGACGGTGAAGATGGAGAGGTACCTGTTGTGGATATTGTAGTTTCCAGTGTTGAACCACTTTCACCTGTAGATGATTCTAAAGTGGTTGTGCTCATAGGGGACATAGATGTTGTAAATGTCGAGTAAACTGTCGTTGTTGATTCAGTTTCTCTGCTAGAAGTATCTGGAGAGGTTTGTGTCTGCTGGCTTGTTGTTTGTTCTACTGTAGCTGAAGATATTTCTGTTGAAGATGAAGTCAATTCTGATGTACTTTCTGTTGTAGAAGATGGTGAAGATGGAGAGGTACCTGTTGTGGATATTGTAGTTCCCAGTGTTGAACCACTTTCACCTGTAGATGATTCTAAAGTGGTTGTGCTCATAGGGGACATAGATGTTGTAAATGTTGAGTAAGCTGTCGTTGTAGGTTCAGTTTCTGTGCTAGAAGTATCTGGAGAGGTTTGTGTCTGCTGGCTTGTTGTTTGTTCTACAGTAGCTGAAGATATTTCTGTTGAAGATGAAGTCAATTCTGATGTACTTTCTTTTGTAGAAGATGGAGAGGTACCTGTTGTGGATATTGTAGTTTCCAGTGTTGAACCACTTTCACCTGTAGATGATTCTATTGTGGTTGTGCTCATAGGGGACATAGATGTTGTAAATGTTGAGTAAACTGTTGTTGTTGATTCAGTTTCTCTGCTAGAAGTATCTGGAGAGGTTTGTGTCAGCTGGCTTGTTGATTGTCCTACACTAGCTGAAGATATTTCTGTTGAAGATGAAGTCAATTCTGATGTACTTTCTGTTGTAGAAGATGGTGAAGATGGAGAGGTACCTGTTGTGGATATTGTAGTTTCCAGTGTTGAACCACTTTCACCTGTAGATGATTCTATTGTGGTTGTGCTCATAGGGGACATAGATGTTGTAAATGTTGAGTAAACTGTCGTTGTAGGTTCAGTTTCTCTGCTAGAAGTATCTGGAGAGGTTTGTGTCAGCTGGCTTGTTGTTTGTTCTACTGTAGCTGAAGATATTTCTGTTGAAGATGAAGTCAATTCTGATGTACTTTCTGTTGTAGAAGACGGTGAAGATGGAGAGGTACCTGTTGTGGATATTGTAGTTTCCAGTGTTGAACCACTTTCACCTGTAGATGATTCTATTGTGGTTGTGCTCATAGGGGACATAGATGTTGTAAATGTTGAGTAAACTGTTGTTGTTGATTCAGTTTCTGTGCTGGAAGTATCTGTAGAGGTTTGTGTCTGCTGGCTTGTTGATTGTCCTACACTAGCTGAAAATATTTCTGTTGTAGATGAAGTCAGTTCTGATGTACTTTCTGTTGTAGAAGATGGAGAGGTACCTGTTGTGGATATTGTAGTTTCCAGTGTTGAACCACTTTCACCTGTAGATGATTCTATTGTGGTTGTGCTCATAGGGGACATAGATGTTGTAAATGTTGAGTAAACTGTCGTTGTAAATTCAGTTTCTGTGCTGGAAGTATCTGTAGAGGTTTGTGTCAGCTGGCTTGTTGTTTGTTCTACTGTAGCTGAAGATATTTCTGTTGTAGATGAAGTCAGTTCTGATGTACTTTCTGTTGTAGAAGATGGAGAGGTACCTGTTGTGGATATTGTAGTTTCCAGTGTTGAACCACTTTCACCTGTAGATGATTCTAAAGTGGTTGTGCTCATAGGGGACATTGCTGTTGTAAATGTTGAGTAAACTGTCGTTGTGGATTCAGTGTCTGTGCTAGAAGTGTCTGTAGAGGTTTGTGTCTGCTGGCTTGTTGATTGTCCTACACTAGCTGAAGATATTTCTGTTGTAGCTGAAGTCAATTCTGATGTACTTTCTGTTGTATAAGATGGTGAAGCTGGAGAGGTACCTGTTGGATGAAGCAGTTGTAAATGTTGATTTTTGTTGTTTGTGTATTTTTGCCTGTGAAAAATTTCTGTAGTTATTTATTCATTTTTAACTAATTCAAGAGAATTATTTGGTACATGAACTAGATTCTGACATAATTTTTCTAGATGTTATTTGAGATCAGGATGTATTTTTACTTGAATTTACTCAACTTGAACTGACTTTTAGTTGTGGTTGTATCAAGGTCGTATTCATGAAAAGTTTATATATTCTTTCATTTGTTAATTGTATTATTAAACAGGGCCTTTAATGTTTAAATGCAAGATTTAAATATTATTTCCATTAACTTTTTGTCCTGCATGCATTTTTTTTACACATTTTTTGTCTTTCTTAATCTTAGTGTTTCAAGATATTTTTTGTATTGACTAACATTACTATATATTACGGAGGCCTATTGCATTCACTTGAAGAAAAAAAAATCTACTCTGTTTTTCTGAATTAACGAGTTAATTTTAATGAGAAAAAAAGCTCTGTTTTTCTGAATTAATGAGTTAATTTTTCATGAGAAAAAAAGTTTTTGCTGTTTTTCTGAATTAACAAGTTAATTTTTCATGGAATTTTTTTTTTTTTTTGTTGCTGTTTTTCTGAATTAATGAGTTAATTTTTCATGAGAAAAAAAAAATATTTTGCTCGGTTTTTCTGATTTTCTGTTTTCATTAATTCAGAAAAACAGCAAAAAAAATTCTCATGAAAAATTAACTCGTGTAATTCAGAAAAACAGAGCAAAATATTTTTTTTCTCATGAAAAATTAACTCATTAATTCAGAAAAACAGAGTAGATTTTTTTTCTTCAAGTGAATGCAATACGCCTCCGTAATATATATATATATATATATATATATATATATATATATATAGGCTATATATATATATATATATATATATATACATACAGTCTGTTCTTACGTAAATGCGTCTCTATAACACTCATCGTCTATTGTCGTGTAATTTATACTTTAAAATGTGTTTTTACAGCAACCCACACCACTACTAAACCTACCCTAACCAACCAATGCTATGCACGTAAAAACTCACTTTAGCATATAAATTACACGACAATACACATGCGTGCTATAAAGATGCATTTAGTGTGATCGGGATGAGATGTATGTATATATATATATATATATATATATATATATATTAGGGCTGTGCAAAAATTAATTGCGATTAATCGCATCCAAAATAAAAGTCTGTGTTTACATAATATATTTGTGTGTGCTGTATAGAATTATTTTGTATATATAAATACCTATGCATGCATGTATATATTTAAGAATTATTTGCACTTAAATTCTGTATATATATAAATACATAATCTATATTATATAAATATAAATATTTTATGTATGAATAACACATTTTCTTAAATATATACATGAATGTGTGTGTATTTATATATATAAAAATAATTATATACAGCACACACAAATATATTATGTAAACACAGACTTTTATTTTGGATGCGATTAATCGCAATTAATTTTTGCACAGCCCTAATATATATATATATCAGGGATCGAGACTAACGGCGTCCTATCGTCCTGGGGACGATAGAAAATGTGTTTAGGACGAACAGAAATATTCTCCAGGACGCCTACAGGACGAAAGACATTTTGTATGTGTGTTCACAGGGCTCGAATTTCGGTGCGGGTATTGCGCATAATTCTAATCATTCCCGCAGGTCTCCTAATTAAAATTCGGGATATTCCCGCAATCGTAATCCACATAGATAAAATGCCAGACGCAATTTCACAAACAGCGTGAAAATCAGCGGTGCCGCGTCTTTTCTTCTCTCAAAATGTAGTGGAAGGCAAGCATCAGTCGCTGCTGCGAGAATACACACTCGCGTTCAGGAGTCGGGACATGACGGGATATTCACTTGCACAATCGGGCCAGCAGTGCATCGTGAATGAAGTTTACCATTTGCACGTCTTTTTAAGTTTTACTAGTTTAAACATTCAGGCGATTTTAAACTGATCAGTGCTCGCGCACTCTCTGGGATGATGCGCACATTCATAGAAAATCCGCCTCAAGTAACACAGTCTCATCCCAAAAAGTCATATAACTGACGTTTTGGGACGTATTTTGACCATACGTCAATATCCGCCTTTTTAGGGCCCCCTTAAACGTCGGTAGATGGTGGTCCCGGGCCGTCATACAACTGACGCTTTACCTTTAACGTCAGTTAGGTGACTGGTTAGGTTTAGGGTTAGGTTTAGGTATGGGGTAGAGTTAGGATCCCATAACCTCATCTACCGACGTTTAAGGGGGCCCTAAAAAGGCGAATATTGACGTATGGTCAAAAGACGTCCCAAAACGTCAGTTATATGACGTCTTGGGATGAGACCGGGCTGCCTCAAGAACAGCTAGCCAGTAACACAAGTTATTTTTCACGGATTATATTGCATTTAACATGCAAAACTGTGTCAATTTCGGACTTCGTGAGTATAATAGTCTAAACATAGTCGGTTTTGTCTTTAATAAGCATAAAACGCATGCCAGCATAATGAACACAGAATCCATGCCATAGCTCTTAAAGAGACAGCACCCATATGCCTCGGTCATTAATTTTGTCGTCAAAATAACAAGTTTAAGGAATTAAAGTTAAAGGAATCAGGATTGATAGCCTATGTAGGCCTATTTAATTTATTCTGGACTAAAATAATATCCAGTGTTATTTTCCATTTGATTACTTTATTCAGTTTCTGTCTATGAATATAGTGTTAGACCTTCAAAAACTTTTCTCTTTATTTGTCTTTATTTGTATCTTTATTGTGCTTTATTTGTGCTTTTTTCAATTTAATTGAACAATTTAAATCAAGCTTTGTGTTGTGTAAATTTTTAACAACATTTCCCCATTGTAAAAATGCAATGAGCGCAAACATTCAGGCAAGATAAACAACAATTTTGTTTGGAAAAAAATAAGGTTTTTTTTAAGTCACAGTAGTTAAATCTGTATCATGTTCAAACTTTAAAATCATTCATATTAACTGCTTAATTGATTTTTCTCTGGAATGTAGGTTTGGAAATTTTAGAGAAATTCTAAATTAATGCATACAGTTGAACTAAACCCATTATATTTTAGTCATCTGAATTGTTTTAGTTAACTAACAGCTATGGATGATAACAGCAGGTACAGAAACAAAAGTTTTATTTTGGGATGGTTGACATTCACTTTAGGACGGTTCAAATTGTCATTCAGGACGGTTCCAGGACGGAGGTGAAAAAAGTTAGTCTGGAGCCCTGATATATACAGTATATATATATATATATATAATTTGCAATATAGAGCTGTCAATAAGTATATTGATTACATACCACTGTTAGAATAGCATGGATGAACATCAGCATTTGTGTACTAGTTTAAATGCATCCAACTTGATTAACTTATTTATTTAACAAATTACTACTAATATGTGAGATTTTGTGAAGCAACATTTGAAACATCCAAACCTGGTCCACTTTCCTTGTTTAGCTCCAACCCCAATTAAACTCATCTGAACTGGCTAATCACGATCTTCAGACTCACTAGAAATTTCCAGGCCAGTGTGTTGGAGTGAAACTGGCCCTTCAAGAGCACCCAACAATTTTCAATTAAAACATTGAAATTTGCTTAACTTATTTTGATGAGTTAAAGTGACATAAAAACATAAGTTGTCATGCCTTATTGAGAACCGGCCCCCTGACTGAGTCTGGATTCTCCCGAGGAGTTTTGGTTCCTTGCCACTGTCGGACATTTAATCTTATATTTAACAATATTATTACAACATTATTTTCCTGTTATCTCAGTAAAGATGCTTTTGTAAAAAGGTGTGTAAATAAAGGTTACTTGACATAAACCCCAATGCTGTAAAATACAAATGAACAACTCTCAGATTTCGAGAAGTTTTTTTTTTCTCACAATTGCGAGTTTACATCTCACAATTTCAAATTGTGTGAAATAAACTTGCAATTGCAAGTTATAAAGTCAGAATTGCATGATGTAAAGTTGCAATTGCATGTTATAAAGTGAGAATTGCCAGATATAAACTTGTAAAGTCAGAATATAAAAATTCACAATTGCAATTTAAGTCAGAATTGTGAGTAATAAGGTTGGAATTACTTGATATAAAGTCGCAATTATGTGTTATAAAGTCTTTTTTTAAAAGACTTTTTTTCACGCAAAAACAATTTTGAGAAAAAAAAATCGGAATTGTGAGTTTATATCTCCCAATTCAAATTTTATAACATATTTTTATTTTCAGAATTTGGATTTTAAAACTCGCAATTGTAAGTTTATATCAGAATTGTGAGATATAAATTTGTAATGGAAAGAAAAAAATTCAGAATTGCGAGATATAAAGTCTGAATTTTCACAATTGTGAGGAAAAAAGGTCACAATTATCTTTTAAATTGTTTTATTCCGTGGTGGAAACAAGCTTCCTTAGTTTTTTTTCTACCAGCTTCTTTTCCCCACAAAAAAATTACAACATTTTGGTTTTAACGAATCAATTTAGTTAAATAAATAAAACCAATTATGAGAGGCTTTTGAAACTTACCTGATGTTGTTCGAAGGCTGAAATATACCAGCAGGATTGAGGCAGCAAAGAAAGTTTTTTTCCAGAAAGTCATGTTGAGAGAGTTTCTGTGAGATGGTTGTTTGTTTAAAATTAATACATATTATCTCTGCTTTGAGGTTTTCTTTATCCAGCAAAATTCATGTGAAACCAGTCAGCCAAATGCACTTGCCATCAGTCTGTTACAATTTCAACATCAACCTGATGAAGATGATGTGTGTGTGCTTCCTGCAAGCAATAAAAGTCATCAGGTGTGGGCACTTTTGTTTTAATAAAAAGGTACGTTCACGCCTTATGTAAGCCA